CAAGAGACTGTGGGCTGCTTGTTAGCAGACCCAGGAAAGACACAGTGCAATGACCTAGGTTGGAGTTTATTAGAAGAATAAGGCCTAAGCCAGTGAAAACACTGACAACCAAAGACTTTAAGAAGAGTAATTAATAGGAGCACTGGGTAATCGATTAATAAGGTAAGTGGCTGCAGCTATAGCATCCAACCAACAGGCTAAAGGAATAGGAGTTTGATGGAGCAGAGTAATAGCAGTCTCAGTAATATGTCTGTGTTTTCTCTCTGCTACCTTATTCTGGGACGGAGAGATGCATTTTCTTATTGACATACTCAGTGCCACCATAAGTTGTAAGAGTTTTGAGATGAAAACCAAACTGCTTTGCTTCTCAGCAAATGCCTTAAAATCCAAGAATTTTGGAAAACCTCACTCTTATAATGCAATGGATACAAACCAAGTGAATTTGCAAAAATCATCAACAAAGAGAACATAAAATTCGATGAAACGGACTTGACTAGGGAACAATTGATCAGGCAATTGCAACATGGCTTGAAAGGCCTTTTGATGAAACGGAAATTTGAGAGGCACTCTTTGATTGTGAGAGAGATAACGCTCCAAGTCCGGATGGTTTTTCCATGGCTGTCTTTCAAGACTGTTGGGAGGTGGTGAAAGGGGATTTGTTGAGAGTATTTTTGGAATTTCATGAGTCGAGAGTTGTTAATTTGAGCTCAAATGCCACATTCATCTGTTTAACTCTTAAGAAAGTGAATGCTGTAAGAATTGGAGATTTTAGGCCTATCAATTTGATAACATCACTCTATAAGATTTTGGATAAGATTTTATCAAAACGACTAAGGATGTCTTTGGGGGATACTGTGTGTAGGGTGCAAGGGGCTTTTGTGAAAGGAAGACAAATCTTAGATGTCGCCTTAGTGGCAAATGAAGTAGAGGAGGAATATAAAAGTTCAGGGAGGGAGGGACTTATTTTTAAGGTAGATTTTGAGAAGGCATATGGCCATGTGGATTAGCAATTTTGGATTTTGTAATGGACAACAAGGGATATGGTAGGCAGTGGAGATCTTGGATTAGGGGATATTTGTCGACTTGCAATATGTCAGTCGTAGTTAATGGTAAACCAGGGCATTGCTTTAGGGCTTCGCAGGGGCTATGACAAGGGGACCCACTATCTCCTTTTCTTTTTATTTTGGTGGCTGATATACTGGGAAGGATGGTCGATAGAGCTAAACAAGCAGGCCTTTTTGTGGGGTTGGAGGTGGGGAGGGATAGAGGTAGTGTGACACATTTACAATATGCAAATGATATCATACTTTTCTCTTCGGGGGATGAAAGTCAAATAGTTAATCTTCATTCGATTTTGAGACTTTTTGGGATTATCTCAGGGCTTAAGGTTAATTTGGAAAAAAGTAGTGTGGTGGGAATTAATATGCAACAAGATCAGCTTCAGAACAAGCCGACACTTTTAGGATGTGGTATGGAGTTACTTCCTTTTAAGTATTTGGGCCTTCCATTGGGAAGGTAATCCTAGGAGTGAAGTTATTTGGAATCCAGTTGTGGAAAAGATTGGCAAGAGATTGGACGTGTAGAATAAGGCTTTATTATCACTTGAGGGTAGATACACTTTGGTCAAGACTATTTTGAGTGGTATTCCTATTTATTATTTATTATTTATCTTTGTTCAAGATTCTGGTTAAGGTGGCAAAGTCATTAGAAAAGTTGATGATGGATTTTCTTTGGGAAGGCAAGGATGAGGAGAAAAAGGATCACTTGGTGAATTGGGAGTTAGTGTCGCTACCTAAGGAGAGAGGGGGTTTGGCTATCGGTGATATATAGGCTAGGAACATGGCCCTTCTTGACAAGTGGTTATGGAAATTTCCACTTGAAATTGATTCACTATGGCATTCGGTTATAAGAAGCAAATATGGGACTCATGACAATAGTAGGGATTCACAGGTGGTTTTGAGGGGTAACTGTCGTGCTCCTTGGAAGTCAATTTCTCAAATTTTCACATGTTGGTCTCATCATCTTTTTGTAAGGGTAGAACTTGTTCGATTTTGGAAGGATGTTTGGATGGGTCAATCTTCTTTTGCTGCTTATTTCCCACATCTATATAGAGTGGCTCGATCTCATAATTCTTTTTTTGCTTCCATGGCTTGTTCACTTTTGGCTCCAATTTTCAGAAATTTTGATTTTTCCAGGAATCTTAATGATAGGAAGGCTTCACAGTTGACTTCTTTATTATCCAGAATTGATCATTTTTCTTTATCTCCTCTTTTGGAGGATAAGAGAGTTTGGGCTCTTCATTCGTCCAGAATATTTTCTTATAAGTCTTTTTTGGATTACATCATTGATAATCCTCATGTTCCTCAGTTTCTTTTTTTGCAAAAAGTTTGGAAGGCTTATGCTCCCCTGAAGGTAAAGGTGTTCATGTGGGCCTTGGTTCATGGAGGCCTTTTGACAAATGATATATTGCAGAAACGGAGACCTAATCGTTTTCTAAATCCTCAGTGGTGCATTCTGTGTTGTAAGAATAGCGAATCCGCGGATCATTTATTCTTGCATTGTCCAATCGCTTTGAATTTATGGCACAGATTGTTTTCTTTGGGAAATGTTATGTGGGTAGCCCCCAAAAAGGAATGTGCATATGCTCCTAGTTGATTTTCGCACATTCGGAAGATCAAAGAGAGCCAAAATGCTATGGTCTCGTGCTGTCTTCGCAACTTTTTGGGTTCTATGGATGGAGAGAAATGTGAGGTTGTTTGAAGATAAGTTCTGGGAGATAGGCTGTTTGTGAGATAATGTTTGTCACTTAACTTCTTTTTGGGTGTCGGGGAGCTCTTTATTTAAAGGAGTCCCACTTTTTTTGTTAACTAGAGATTGGTTGGCGGTGTGTAATATGTAGGCTTTTGCTTGTGATTAGCTTGTTAGGGGTTTCATTTTTTGTATTCTCATTGTCCTTTTGTAAGAGGATGCCTCATCCTCGCTTCATTTTTTTGATTTATCAATAAAGTTTTTTGTTGTTGATCAAAAAAAAAAATTTGTAGCCAGGAATAGAGGAGCAAAGGATCCCAAACATCACTATGTATCAAACATAAAGGCTGATTAACAGTTGTAGAAAGTGCAAATGGTAGCCCCATGACTTTTAGCAACACAGCAATGTGTGCAAGGAGGAACAAAACAGTTCTTATTGGAGAAAGATACATTTTCAGAAATTTTGTAAGATGTTGAATTTTCAAAGGAGAAGGGAGACCTAGTCTTTGATGCCATAGGAGAAGCTGATGCTTAACCTGGGGATGAGGAATGAGTACTCAGAAGAGCATGCAGTGAAGAAGCAGTAGAAAACAAAGGGAACTGGTATAGACCATGGACATTGGAACCTTTATCTCTATAGAGGATTTCCTTTGTTTGTTTGTCCTGAACAAAGAAGGAAGTAATCATCAAATGTAAAAGTACAGTTGGTATCTATGATTCTTAGGTTGCAAGAACCTCCTACTAGGGGTGACAAATCAACTCAAAAACCACGATCCAGAGCAAGAATCAAGTAATAACCGCATTCCCATGTTCCTGGTTGGGATGGAATCTCTGGAATATATGAATACCAAAGAAACACAAACAAAATTACCAAGCAAGAGAAAGTATATTATGTAAATAATATTTAATTATATTTACAAAAAACAATTTGCAGTTGATGCCTAAGAATCACGAACACTTCCTCATAAGGTGACATGTCCACGTTAGACACTCAATCCAAACATGTCCTATGCTATTATTTTTAAAATGTTATAGACATGGACACGATTCAGGTACTTAGGGGACACACGTATCCATCACATAGACATACAAGAAACACATCAGTTTGAACATAATAACGTAGGATACAATGATAAAAGAAAAGAAAGTTTAAATTTACACTTATTAATCCCCCCCTCCTTTGAACTTTAGGTACAAAACAGTATTTTTTGGGTGTATCCTTGTGTGTTGGTCCTACATTGTTTTGAAATTTGTTGTGTCTACGTGTCTGTGTCATTTTGCATGTTTGTTTCCGTGCTCCTTAGGTTGACACTAATCTCCAATATTCATTCATATTTTAACATATATTGGCAGTGTTTGGGAAGTTTGTTTTTTGGTTTTTTTTCACTAAAAGACAAATTGGTTACAAAACTAAAAAAACAAATCCAAACAAAATATCACATCAAACCCCATAATCATTTCACTTTTTCTCTCACAAACATCACATCCAATCACAAAAAAACCCAACTATCTTCCCAAACACAAACAAATTTTTCTCCAATAATATCCTACAACTAAAAAAACCTACAAAAAAACCCACTTTCCAAACACCTACATTATTTCTTACAATATATTTTATATATATAATATACAAAAGCTACTATAGGCCCTCCCAACCTTAAACTCTTCTATGTGCCCTCACTCCTCGCCCTGCCCCCTCTGCTGTTTTGTGCAACTAAGATTTCATACCTCACTAGTACTACATGAAGTGCTTAATTATATGTTACCTATATGGCACCCTAGCCCAAATTGTAGGATTCACATGGGCTTTTCTCCATTTTCGTATGTGACGAGCATAATTTTAAGGGGTTAATCTCCATCAGGTAGAGCAACACATGGTTAAGCCAAAATCAAACAAAGCTCAACCAAGCTAATTGTTAAAATTTACCATCACCTACCACCAATTTACCATCACCTACCACCACCTACTCCTCACCTACTACACTCACCCTCTCCTATATAATGAGTCACTCACCATTTGTAATATACATAATATCAAATACATCAATCAATAATACAATTCTCTATTTCTCTTTATACATTAAATTTCTACACTAATCATGCCTAAAACAACGGTCAAGTGCACACAAACCCAAGCCTCCCCTGATAGAAAATCCGCAAATAAACTCTACCTGTTGCTTAAATTATGACAAACATGCAACTTTTATTTAGATAGAACGTAAAATCCATTGCCATATTCTAGAACATCATACCAATCCATTGGATCTCTCTCTGGAGCATCATTAGCTGACATCAATTCATATGCGACAAGCTCATGCATCTGGTTATCCAACACTTTGTATACGATCCAACAACCTATAAGAATGAATCAATTATTGATGGACAAGTTAGAATTAGTTAAAATTCAAGTAATTAAGTAACAACAAAGAGAGTTATCTACAATTATGCATACATAGCTGACGCAAGAAGCACACTTAAATAAATAATTTGGTGTTTGGGGGTTTTTCATCATAAGATTACTATAAAGTACAACTTTCCTATACCAAAATTAGATGATATGCAAGATATACTCTCGGCTTCTTGGGCCTTTTTCCCAGATAGACATAAAGAGTGCGTTCCACAAAATAAGAATTCAAGTAGGTGTGAGTGGAACACAACCTTTAAGAAAAGGTAGGGATTTTCTGAGTGGTCAATTATGCCATTTGGCCATTCAAATGCACCAAGTGTTTTCATGAGATTTATGAACCAAGTGTTGAAACCATTCATTATAAAGTTCATAGTTGTCTCCCTTCAACCAAAAATAAAATAAAAATGGTTCGTAGTTTGCCCACTTTGATGAAGGGTTGTCCTAGATGTTCTAAGGAAAAATTAGTTGTGTGTATACTTGAGACATGTAGGGTTTTATGGAGGACAAATTGGCGTTTCTAGGGTTTATTGTCTCAGGTGGTGGTTTGGAGGTTGATCCGATCAAGATTGAAAAATTTCTAGTCGGCCTACTGTGAAGATATTGACTGAAATTACAATTCTCATGGCTTTAACTACTTTCGACCCAAGATTCATAAATATTTTCAGCAACGTCATGTCTCCAATTACAGAATGTCCAAGAGCAAAAAGTATAGTCGAAGAAGATGAGGAGAGATTCCAAGAAATAGAAAGAGGATGATGCAAGCGCCAATACTAGCTCTACCAAATTTTGAAAGCCAATTGTGATGTATCTAAGGTTGGCATTGGTTGTGCTTTACCCCAAGGGGGGCAGTTCATTGCATGCTTAAGTGAGAAATTCATAGAAACTCAACAAATTTCTCCACCTACAATATTGAGTTCTATTCCATTGTTCAAGGCTTGAAGTTTTAGCTACATTACTTGATTCAAAGGAAGTTTATCTTGCATTCAGACCATGAAGTCTTGCAGTCTATCAACTCCTAATGGAAGTTAAATGAAAGACATGCAAAATGGGTGGCTTCTCTCTGAAGCATACATACATTCTTCCTACAAGTCTATGACACAAGGCTGGTTTGCAAATAAAGTTGCTAATGGCTACCAGTAGAATGGTCCATATGTTGCAATATGTCACTAGGTTGTTGGATTGGAAGTGATCAAAGAACAATAAAAGGAGGTTCCTTAATTTTTATAATTCTTTGAGAAACACCAATCACAAGTGTTTCCAATAGGCGTGCCAAAAATTTGTACACAAATTTTTAGTCCTACAATAAAGAACACCGATTAAAATGGTAAACCTCTTATTCAATATCTTGATTTAGTCACGATCCAACAAATGTAGAAGCTTGTTGTCGAATTGAACCACTAGATGAATTTCTTCAAGTCCTCAAAACTAAGAAGACTGAAGAGAGGGGCTTGTTTGAGGGCTTGATCTCAAACAAAGTTCAAACTACTCTATCCAAAAGAAGATACCAGATTGCAAGCTCCACGATTCTTGAGATGTAGAGTGTCCTGAACTTCATAGCATGTGAAAGAATCGGCAAGTTGTGGAAGAATTTGTTGATCTTCCATGAGAGCTTTAAAGAGAGCCTTCAAGAGAACATTAGACAGAGCCTTGAGGAATGCTTAAGAACTCTTGGCCACAGGTCCATTCTCCATGAATAAGACCCTCTCTCTCTATATATATATGCTCAATTGTTGAAGTGCATGAGTGTTAATTTGGAAATTCCCTAAATTTGAATTTGTGAATTAATTAATTTTACAAAATGAGAGTTCTCTATCATTATCATAGATCATGGAAACAAATTTAAGTTTAAATTAGAATTGCCCAATTTTTGACTTATTTGGAGATTTTGACCTATGTCATTGAGCGATACATCCTTCGGTACATTCAACTAATTGACCCATATTGTCAAAATTGGACCCTTTTCTTTAAGCATGACACATATTTACGGTTAAGTCCTGTGATTTTGGTGCGACTCACAGTTCTTGTAAATTTGACTTTGATCAATCAAGAAAGATTAGTTTGTCTCAACTAATCAGACAGTAGATAGACTCATTAACAATGTTTTGTTAGTGATAGAAAGATTAGTTTATCTTGACTAATCAAATCATAGATAGACTCATTAACAATGTTTTGTTAATGATAGACTCATTAACGATGTTTATTGCTATTGGAAACATTGTGGCTAGGAATATTGCCCTTCTTGGAAAGTGGTTATGGAGATTTCCCATTGAGAATAAATCATTTGGCATGCCATTGTTAAGAGCAAGTACAGGGTTCAATCTAATGGGAGAGATTTTAATGTGGCTAGTCAGGGCAATAATTGATCTCCATGGAAATCCATTTCTCATATCCTTCCGTTTGTGTCTAGATTTCTTTTTTTGAAAGTGGGCAATGATGAGAATGTTCAATTTTGGGAGGATGTGTGGGTGGATGATTCTTCTTTTGATTTGTTATTTCCAAACTTGTGCTTGGCAGCCCGGTCTCAAGTTGCTCTTGTTGCTTCTATGGCATTGTCTTATGTGGCACCAATATCTTGGGACCTAAACTTTTCTAGAACCCTTAATGATCGGGAAAATCTGGAGTGGGCGTCTTTGTTGTCTTTACTTGAGGGGATATCTCTATTTCCAAATGAGATTGATAAGCAAGTTTCACACATTCATTCTTCCGGTGTTTTTTCATGCAAGTCTTTCTTTGAAAAGATCATTGATGAGCCTAATTTTCATTCTTTTCCATTCTATAAAGGAATTTGGGAAGCTATTGTGCCTCAAAAAGTACAGATCTTTATGCGGTCCTTGGTTCATGAGAACATTTTGACTAATGAGACTCATCAAACAAGGAGGCCTAATCACCACCTTATCGGTGCATTTTATGTAGGGGAAATGGGGAATATCTGGATCATCTTTTCTTACATTGTCCAGTAGCTTTGCATATTTGGTAATGTTGTTTTCTTTAGCCGCCATACATTAGGTGGCCCTGGGGAAGTGTTATTAAATGCTTATTATTGAATTTTGAGGTTTTGGTTTGAAGAAGCGAGCAACAGTAGGGATGCAACTCGGGTGGATTTGGACAGGTTGAGAGATTGTCCAAGCCCAGCCCAAGTTATGCTGAGACCTGCCTAGGCTCACCTAGGCCCGAATTGTAATCCGAGGTTGTCTGCCCAAGGTTGTCTGCCCAAGCCCAAGCCGAGTTAAATCTGAATAGCTGAAGTTGTCCGAATTGCACATAAATTTCATTTTTTTTTTTCCAGCTAAATTATTAATATGTTAAAATTAGATTTTGTTTACATTTTTTTTTTAAAGAAAATCATTAATAACATGAAAACATATAATTTATATACTGTAAGAGAAATGCTGTAATGGTAGTCTTTACAATTTATGAGTGAGAATAAAAAAAAATCAGATTTTGTGTTGTGTTTATGTAACTTATGTATATAATATATAATATATATTTGATATGATTTAACGATCTAAATTACTTTAATATCATCTAATGGCTAATAATATATACGTATATTAAATATTTTTATATATAATTCAAGCTTCGGGTTGTTTGATATCCTTATCCCAACCCGTCCAAATTGAATTTGGGCTTCTGAATTTTTGCCCAAACCCATACCGAATTTAAAAATTTCTCGCCCAAGCCCCAAAAAAATTCAGGCTGGGCTCGAGTTGCTTCGGTTGAGCCTACTCAAGTTGCACCCCTAACCAAAAGTGTTGTGGAGATGTGTCACATTTGTAATTTTTTGGGTTTTATAGTTGAAAGAAATGAAAGGATCTTTGAGAACAAGTTTGGGGATGTCGAGTCAATATGGGATGAAGTGTGTCATTTGGCATCATTTTGGGCGTCTATTTCTCTTGGAGTTCCACTTTTTTTTAATTTCTAGAAATTGGAAAGTGGTTTGTGATGTACAGATGTATTTTTGTTCCTTTCCTTTTTTCTTGATGTAATGGTTGTGTTCAACAAAGAGGACCTCTTGTCCTCTTTTGTTGTCGTCTTTTTTATTAATAAAATTACCTTTGCTACTAATCCCAAAAAATAATGAAGAAGAAGAAGAAGACTTTGGATGCAACCCACGCGAAAAATCTTTTCTTTTGAGAAATGGTTAAACCACATGGGGTATTGATGGTTACCACATTTGACCATATATGAGATTTCTTAGCCATAATTGGAAGACTTCTTGAAAATTACAGCCAAGTGGACTGCAATATAGCAGTTCATATCACCCCCAAAAAAGATGGTCAAATGGAAGTGGTAAACCGGGGCTTGGGGAATTTGTTTAGGTGCCTTGCAAAGGACAACATCTGACATTGGATCTGACCTTGGCACAAGCTGAATTTGCTTACAACAGCAACACAAATAGGACTACTGAGAAGAGCCCTTTTGAAATTGTGCATGGGTGAAGTCCAAATCAGATTGTTGATTTTGTGGATATCTTGGATCAGCCACAAATTTGTGATGATGGTATTGCATATGCAGAAAATTTGAAAAATAAAAATAATGAAATCCGGGACCAGATCCGGTGAAAGTTACCAGAACCAAACTAACACTATCAATAAAGATGTGGATCGCCATCAGAGGTTCAGATAATACCAAGTGGAAGTTTTGGTCAAGCATCATGATTTTTCTTCGGAAAGAGAGATTTTCAGCAGGCACTTATCATAAGTTAAAGAGCAAGAAGATAGGCCCATGCAAAATATAGAACATTTGAGGAGAATGCTCATGAAGTAAAACTTCCAGGTGGCCTGCAAATATGCTTTCTAAGGCTCTCTTTTTCTCTAGACCCTTCTCCCCATCTCCACAGTTAGTTGCCAACCTAGATGCCAACAACCAACAAATCACAAAGCTTGTCAAAGCAATCTAATATCACCAAACTAAGAACTCTTCACAAGCACCAACACAAAGGTGGCCTCGGATTCTCTTGTGAGTGTATTTACTGTTGTGAGGCATAGGCATGAGCTATGTTACATAGACTCGGTTATGAGTATCAGGCATGGGTGAGACCTTCATAAATTTAAACCTTACGATATCGGGATATGTAACCAAAAGTAGCATATGGGTATGGGGACTCATTATGGACACTTGCATAAGTTGCATATTATATAATCTTCATATCAAAGATGTGAATTATGTAAAAATGGACTTGAAACTAAATAGGATTTAGGAAAAATATAAATTTTCTATCTCTATGCTAGAGGTTATAAATGTTTTTTTTCTAACAAATTTGAGTTTTTTATTCTTCAAACATTGTAAAAAGTTGGAAGATCCAATTGTCTAAATTGGATACAGACACATCGCACACCCTTACTCTTGTCATATCTGGTGGACACGGGTACTTCGGGGAAAATAGAAGAGTCCAAGAAACATAAGGTATGAGTGAGAAGCGCATATGGAGCAGTGTGCTGGGCACACATTTGTTGTGGATGCGAAGCTCCTTTGGGTGTTACTTTGATACATGAATTATGAGTTCTTTGGTCTAAGCTATTACATGCTTTGCTTTTAAACTTGAAGACCGATATATATATGAACCTGATAAATTGATATATATACACACATATACGTAGAATTTATATAAACATGCTATATTACATCTCTATAGAGAGAAATTTTAAGAAATCAATTCAAAATATCACCATGTAATATATATTACATATATATCTCCATATATGTATGCAAGAGTTCTAAGATTTTATACCCGAAAGGGTCAACATGTCTCAATTTTTAATTTGAGGGGTTAAGTGAAAACGGGTCAAAGTTGAAAGGAGAGGTGGTGAAAATTTTGACATGGGCAATGTGGATCTGAAGAAACAATTGGAATGAAGTAAAGATTGCAAAACAACACAAGGAGAAGTTTGAGGCAGCTCCTATATACTCACCAAGATATCAGACACGCAATAGACCATAACAAAACTACAAAAAAATATTGCCATGTTGGACAAAGAGAACATAATAGCTGGTTCAAGGGCTCTCGAGCTATGCAATAAACAAGTTGCCCTTTGATTGCATGTGGCAGTTAATTTGATGACAACATTGAAGATTCCTAGAGGATGAGCAGAAGAGTTTAGTTGATAATAGTAGCCAGTGAGTGTAAGAACTAAGGTGGAAATGAGGTTCAGAAGACATGTTTGTTGATTATCATGTTTTTTGCATCCGAGTGCTGAAATTTCAAGGTTGGATGCTTAGAAAGTATGGCCAGAAAATGCGCTACCATGTTAAACAAGAATGTTTAAAGATCCTTCCTATTTGTATTTCTTTTCCTTTCTCTATATCTTTCCCAAAACAATCAAAATAAAGAAATGATTTCTTAGAATGCATTCTACTTTCTTTCCAATATTTCCTGTACAACCAAACAGCCAAAGGTATTTTCTTGTCCTTTCCCTCATTGAACCTGTGAACAAAATACATTGTTAAAACTCCAATTATTTATGAATTTGCGAAATGACCCCGACTAAAATTAAACACCATAATATGATGTGCATGGCAGCCTCCTATGCACTCCAGATCAACAATCATGAGGAAAGCCAATAGATTTTCCTTGACTTCTGGCATTACGTTGCTAGCCTACTGAATATTATAGTGTACTCAGGTAGTGTATTGCATAGACATAGTGCGAAAACTAGCTTTCTTAAATATTATCACATATGATATATATATATATATACACAAATATATATATTCATTTTCAATTTCCACCCTCTTTTGTTACATGGCATATTTATGACTCGTAAGAGATAAAACATGTTATTCGGTTCAGAGTACCTCTGGCACCATTTGGTTCTTCCCACTTTGACATTCGAGTTCCATCAAATGCAGATGTGACCTGAAATTGGTTGACAGCAATGCCTTTAAAAGAATTTCATTATCAACAATGGGATCATAAAGAAATCTACAAGACACGTGTCATATATTAATTATCAATAAAATTGAACTAATAGCATGAATTGGTCAATGCAACTTACAATTCCAAAAGGAAGCTCCTCCCCACTAGCAAGGACCAAACCGGAGTATATTCTGTTTAATTTTTGAAGTGGCCAAGAGAGAGAATTTTTATTGAAGTTGTTGCATATGTTGACATTATGGATCACATCATCCAGAGCATGGAACAAAACAGGTAATGCTATGGAGGTTCTAACAGGATCAGCAGCCAAATAAATGTCAACCCTTCCACTGGCATCTAGCTCACTCTTCAGGGAAAGGGCATCAAACAATTGACCAAAAGAAGGCAGCATCTGAAGGAAAAGATGCTGTGCACCATTTGAAACAGGGTTTATAGAAGTTCTCCTCGTTCTAAAAGGGGAATTCTTGAGATTGATTAACATTTGTTTAAAAAACAGAAGGACTTCAACAGCTCTAGATTTAGAACAAGATTTCTCGACAAACTGAGAAATGATTGGACAAAATGCATTGTAGATCTTTGTCACATGCTCATCAATGCATTTACGGGCTGGACAACAACAAGAACTTGGAAAGCAAATCTCGTCAGAACCAAATTCTGATCTTGACATGCGCCATTCCTTGTCACCACTTTGTCTTCCAGGTAACGAGATTGAAGCATCATCTTTAGAATGCAACTCTCTCTCAAGTGCTTCAGCTTCATTCCTGTCTTGTTCCTCTAGGGCAGAAATCACTTGAGATGTAAAATTCTGTCGACATTCTCTTCTTATGTTCGAGAGAATAATAGACAGGATGGGATCCGTAGTAATGTTTCTCCGAGACAGAACCTTTAACATGAAAATATTATTGCAGTCAAAACTCACATAATCGCATATTTTTTAATGTGAAGTGATCATTTAAATATTTATAAGACTACCTCATGCCACTTTCTGGTGTAACGTTTAGTGACGTCATACACTCCATCTTTTGCAAAAGCAATTACATAATTCAAATTCTTTTTCCACCTTCAAAGAAAAAAAACATTTGCAAACAATATAGATGAAAGTCAAAAAGTTGATTCAACTATGAAGCATCAGGATGAAAAAAACAATTCCAAAACTATATAGATTATGTGTAGGTGAAAGTACCCTTTCTCATATAGCAAAGGATTGTCGTATATTCCTTCACAGGGATCAAGATGCATCCATCTATGAAATTTGAACCCACCATAAGAATTTGTGGATGCACATATAGAACATAACAAATAGCAGCAGCTGCGTGAATAGAATATTTACCTTCCTAGAACAGGTGACATGCACTCTGTCCAAACATGATCTGTGAAATCCATAACCTGGAACAAATAGAAAGTGCGTCAATGAAAACATTTTTCTCTCAACCTCAGATTCTAATTTCTGGAAATTACATGAAGTTTAGTTTTTTTAATTTTTTTAAACATCAACTAAATCTACTCTTGTAGAGAAACTTAAACGAACATTACCTGGTGAGATTTAATACTCAATTTTAACATAGAACCATTAATTGCATTGTTTCTGATATATATATACATAAATTTCATAGAGTTGGCAACAATAGAGTTCAAATTCTTCAACTATTATTCTTTCCTATTTTCCACTGGACTTGTGATTACCTTAATATTTGGGATATACATTTATATATAGCTACTCATCAGCAAGTTTGTCTCATAATTTTACTATTAACCCAACACCCAACCTTAATGTCACTCTCCTGGCAAGAAATTCCAGCAATTTGCATGCTAAGGACCAATTTTTTCACTGCAATTGTCTCAGACAACTAAAATTATTAATTTTTGAAAGGAAAGAATAAATTTCTTAAAAGAAGAGCATCAAGATGATGCTAACAAATATATCCACGAACTAGCGACACCCAACAACTAAACAAAAAGAGCATCTATGAAATCCACCAAAGAATATAAATCCAGAGCCACTTTTCCTGAGACCCAACCATACAAAATCACAAAGAATCTATTTTTGAAAAAAGGTACCAGGACCACCACCCCTTGGAAAATTCATCTGTTACGCTCTCCAACCAAATCAACCACAATGACGCCAAATCCAAAGCCTTTGGACACCTTTTCCCAACTATGAAGAACATCCACCTCTCACCCCTGTTGAACTCAAACCGTGCCAAACACCGAAAAAATCAACCCCCAAAGCTGATGCACCACACGGCAATGAAGTAAAAGATGAGACGTGGATTCCCCGCCCCTACAACACATACAACACCAATTAATCAAAATTTGCCGACGCTGAATGAGATTGTCAAACGCTATCTAGCACCGCCATCCCACAAAGAATGCCACTTTGGATGGAGCTCCAGCAACCCACACACTCCGCCACAGATAAGTCAAGTCCCCACCATCCACCAAAGCTCGAATAAAATGAAGAAACTGAAAAGACACTTTTAGAACCGATGCACCGCCAAACCAAATAGTCCTCCCCCTCCCCCACACCACCAACCCCATGCAGAAAAACCAACAAATCCACTAACTATCCAACTTCCCAATCATGGACTTGCCGTTGAACCCTCACATCCCACACCAACCGCCCAACATCTAATAGCAAATAAGAAGTGACCACAACATCCTTATCTACCGCAATCCAATATATGAACGAAAATTGAGATGCAAAGGTCTAATAGCCACACCACCTATCTGTCCAAAACCACTCGGTCCCCTTCCCCAGCAGAAAACTAATCCACCTCCTAAAATCCCCCCACCCTAACAAAATACCTTTCCACAAACCCCTCCGACAAGTGACCACCATATCCCCTGAACTCCACTCCCCCCACCAAATTCCATACATAGCCACCACCACCACCTAAAGCCAAAAATGCTCCTCTCGTACAAACCTCCAGAGCTACTTCCCGATTAACACCCTGTTGAAAACTACCAGCTTTCGCAATCCCATCCCACCCACCTACTTCAGGTGACACACCCTATTCCAATCCACCAGAAGGAACTCATCTCCCCACCCTCCTCAAAGAAAATATGTTTGTAGCTTCTCCAAAAGACGAGCAACCAACACTAGAATGACATGAATTGATATAAAATAAGTCGGAATGCTAGCCAAAGTACTCTTAATCAACGTCAACTTCGCTCCTTTTGAAAAAATTTGCCTCTTCCACCCTATCAAACACCGTTGAACCCGTTCCACCACCCCATCCCACACCATAGTTGCTTGAAAAGTAGACCCAAAAGGCAAACCCAAATACCTAACCAATAATGAAGCCACCTTACAACTGGGAACAGCCGCCAATATGGACAAATTCATCACCTCCCCAACCTAAATTCACCAATAGCCCTGAAATTACCTCAAAACACAAAAGGACACAGTGCAAGTTGCCTAGTTGGACTGTCTCAGCATCACAAAAAATCAAGGCGTCATTAGCATACAACTAGTGGGACACAACCAATAGCCCTACCTACTCCATGCCCACGGTAAAACCCTTCAGCAAACCACCTTGCACCACCCGAGATAACAGCCTGCTTAGTGCCTCCATAACAAAAACAAACAACAACGGCGAGAGAGGATCGCCTTGACGCAAATAACAATAAGTTTGGAAAAACTCACCGGTGAGCCATTTACCAAAACTAAGAGCCTCACCATGCTAACACAAAACCGAATCCATCTCACCGCTCTTCATAACCCATTCTCTCCAAAACATAAAACAAGGAACTCCCAACTAACATTGTCAAAGGCCTTCTCAATGTCTAATTCACAAATAATTCCTGGACAGCCCGCTCAGACATAGGAGTCGACACATTCATTGGCTACCAAAATAGCATCTAGAATTTGACGCCTTACCACAAAAGCATTATGAGAATCTGAAATAACTGCATCAAAAGTACCCTTAAGCCTCCTTGCTAAAATCTTAGCCAATAGTTTATACACACTCCCAAGCAAGCTGATTGCCCTAAAATCCCAAATGTTCCCCCCCCCCCTCTTTCCCCTTTTCTTGGGACACACATTAGAACTCCTCTCAAAACACCCTATCTCAAAAAACTGAGTCAATTTGGCCAAAACATATCTTTTTACCACCTCCCAACACTGCTGAAAAAAAGCTAATGTGAAACTAGCTAGACCTGGGGCCCTATCACCATTAAGCTTACACAATGCCCCCATCACCTAATCCTTTGTAATTTCAAAAAAGAATCAGTTTCCCAGCCATAAGAGCGAATAAGCTTTTGTGGATAACTACATCTTTAGAGGTTTTCATTTTTATACTAAATTGGCAATAGAAATAATAGAAGTTTTACGAGCAAATCCTACAATATTATTTCCAGAATTTTGCTTACAAGACGAGATTCATAACCAAAAGCTCGACAATACAGTGTAAAGCAATTGGCCCACTCCCCACAACGTCCCCTCCGTGTTTCCAGAAGCTGCATAAAATATATCAAGGAAAAATTCATCAAATGAGAACTTCTCAGCCATAGGGATGAAATAAAAAATATATTACCTTTAATGGATCATTATACCGAGGGAAACGAGTGATTGTTGAGCAACTATTGCAGCTGAGGAAGTTAAAGAATTCAGTGAGAAAAATCAAACATAAGTGATATCAGTGTGCAAAGACTAAATTGTCAATTCATACAATTAAGAGAACTATTACTTACAAACCAACTAAAAAGGCTTTGAACCCTCGCAACAGCAAAATAATGAGAAGAACTTAAACTATTCACACTTCGTAATTACAAAATCCGCTTAGATGTCACATTTGTCAATAATTTAGTTTCACAATCCACTTTAGATGACATTTATCAACACTTCCCTTGACAAAAGGTTGATTAAGCAACAGGCTGAAGGCATCAAAATATTGAAAAAAAACATAAAACTCTACCCAGATTTCGAAATTAGGTTTCTAATATAAAGAGTATTTTTCAAATACATAGTAAGAGAAGATCCTCTTTGAATGTCGATCATAGAACAATGCAAGGGTGACAAGCAAGAGAGATCTTCGATGGGAAACTTCAGCCACAAAATATTCATATATAGAAACATCAGTATACTAGAATAGAAAATAACAAATAAATAAACTAGCAAGCATTGTCCTTCCAGATGTCGCCAGTGGCTACAAATCATTTCTAACAAATATAGGACAACCTGAAGGAGAGTTAATGAACACAAACAAAAAAAAAAATTGCTATCTATTAAACTTTAGCTTTGTGTTTTTCCTTGGTTGGTTATTTACTTTATTTTTTTATGGAATATAATTATAAAAGTTCTTTTTTATGTCTAAACCATATATTAAGCTAAGTTTAATAACAGTCCAAGATGAGCTCCCCATATGCATGCTGCTCATATACTTATGCACAAAAGGCAAACGAGACGCACATGCGGCACAAATCTTAATGATGAACAATCTTTGGGTTGCCAAGAAATCAAAGCGCTGGTGTGTTTTGCATCTCTCTCTCTATATATATATTTATATATACATACACGTTTTGCCTTAAGTGAGTCTATCTATATATATATCTATTACAATGGATCTCTTAGTTGGGCGTTTGGTAAAGGCTTCAACATAGGCCAAAGGGGAAAAAAAAAGTGCATGAGATAGAAAGACAAGCATGAAGATTCCTTCCATTGTGTCACAAGGATCTCTGAATGATTGGTTCATATAAGCACTCTCCAAACTTGGAAGTTGTGTGACTTCACTAGATTTCTTCAATTCAATTCCAAATAATTTGATATTGGTTTTTTTTTATTTTTTTATTTATGCTTATTTCGAGAGAGGGAGGGGGGGGGGGGGGGGTGGGCCCTTTGGGTTATATATGTAATTTTCTTTAGGGGAGAAGTATAGAGAGATAAAGCACATATTTGCTTGGCTAGAAGAATTTTCATACATACGAGCTGATATTCAAAGACCCATTAAAAGTTTGCGTAGTTAGAATTCGGTTTGTCTTTCATGGGTTTTTGATATTGAATTTATATATTAAAATTGAAAATTTTTGGAAGTGGATTTTGGTTGTTGAAAGCATAAATTCACAGACTAATTTCTATACAGAGCTTTTGAGGGTTCCTACTGATAACTAAATATAGGCTTCCTTGTAAAAATTCATAGTTAGGGATGATGGTAGTGACCAGCGGTAGCTGGTGGTGGTTTGTTGTGGGGATGATGGTCTTTGGTGGTGTGTTTGGTTAAAGGTATTATTTAAATAAGGAATATAGGTATTAGGTCATTGGGCTGTTTGGATACAAGGATAATAAAGGGTAAAACAAGCATTTTACTGTAAAATAACAATGACATCATTCTTTTACATCAATAGGATTAACAGATAACTAACTGTATGGGACAAAGTGTTGTGCAAATTATACTTGAAGGGAGCACAATTTGCACAATTTATTATGTTAAACTTGTGGAACTCGCCGTACTTTTTCCAAACCTCAAGGGAAGTCAATGTAGTTTACCCTTGAAAAAACTGCTTTTTGGACCAACTTATGATGAACCCTATATTGCCAATGCACAATGCACACAACTGAGAAACCTTGAGAATATAGCCACTCGTATATATTTCTTATAAATAAATAAATAAAATAAAAATAAAAAGACTCTAAGAAGATATTAACTATTGGGGATTCCTTAATTTTTTTTCCGAGTTTCATTATTAATCAATATTGATATTAACTATTAGGGATCCCTCAAGGTGTATAGGCTGTATTGACGATTTGTGAGAGCTTTGTGTGAATCCTCCACCAATTAAGACTACCTTTGAGTCTTTGTAAGAAGCTTAGAGGCAAAGCTCTAAGCCTGTTTTATCAAACTACAACAGATGCATAACCTCTAAAAAATCAAGCAAAGCATGAATCTGACAAGTTTTGTTTGTATTATTGAACTACTTAATCATCAAAATACTAGTCCACATATTTATGTATACTGCATAATTTCCACATGGTTTCAATCATGACGGGACCACGTTCCTTGAAGCTAACCTAGTAGAATATAATAGAACCAAAAGCAGTGTTGTACTAATTGGAAAACAATACAAAATATAAAGTCTGGTTAGCATTGTTCGGATGGAGCCAAAAAAGTATCTAGATTTGACACTTGTGACTAAGAAAATTAAGGAAAAGGATAAAACAAAATATTATAAAGAAAATTGAATTAGCTGAGTTCTTATCTGATATGTAGTTAATAGAATACAAACCAACCTTCTTCAAGTTTATTAGGAGACATAGTGATGGTAGATGGGGTAATCCGAGAAATAGATCCATCAAGGGTTTTGTTATCAATATCTTGCTAGAAGGACAAATACATCAATGTAAACATTAGATTATCTTCCAGTGAAAGGGGGTAAAGGCTTTGGTTCGTTTCATCCATAAGGCTCCACAAACTGGTAGCAACCCTAGTTTTTTATCACAGGAAAATAGAATCTCAATTAGTCTGGCAGGTTAATTCCTCACTTCCGAAGTTATTCAGCTATTGAATTTTGACAAGGGACCAAATCTGTATGACGCCTACCATTGAAAGATGACCCCTGCAATAGGATTTGTCTAGATCGCATCTTTAGGCTTGCACAAACTTCATTTTTCATTGCATTTATTGCTGTTTTGGTGCTTGGCAAACCAACACACACACACACACACACACACACACAGAGACCAACTATAATGTCAGGTAAACTTTTCCCTTAATTAAGTAACTAATTTGCATTAATTGCCCATGTATCTCACTAATTAAGATTAATTGGCACTAGTACTTTACTTAATTAATTTAGTAGGCTCCGTAATTACATTTATTTTAAATTAAATTGATACTAATTGGATGATTAATTGTTGGGCTTTGTGGACCCACTTTGAAATTAAGCAACTTTGGGTATTGAGTCCACAACTTGAAAATATTTTTTTGGGCTTGTTTATTGTTGGTAGAATTTATTTGGACTATTTATGGATGGGTATTTGACCCAATACCCATGACCCACTCAATTAGGGCTTGGATATTTTACTAGTCAACATGGATTAAAGTTTTGGAGGGAGTTCCTAAAAAAACAAAAGAGAGCCCTAAGGTTGCTGGCACCCCCCTCCCCTTTTTTATTCATTTTGTTTGTTTGTATACTTTGTCAAATACATTGATACATGAGTCGATTGGTAAGTATCCTTTGACGACTTTTTTTTTCTTCTTTTCTTTATACACTTGGTCAAAGAGAGGAAAGGAAAACAACATAAAGCCACCAGCAACCACCCCATAGCTGACAAACTGTGTCACATCCCCCACCCTCAAAATAAGATTAGGAGACGTGGCCGGCCAATAACTGTGGTTACCAAGACCTCAAAACAAAACCAGGTATGATTATACAAAAACGTGCATTATATTAATATACTTCAAAAAAACAAAAAAAGGGGTAAGGTCCAAGAGTTTAGTACATTCCTATCATTGGAGCTAGTGCCTATATGCAAAGTCCGGCACAAAAAACTGCATTTATAACACGTTCATTGGCCGTCAAAATACATAACAGTGGAAATGCTTGTTTGAGGTCCCTCACGCCATTACCCATTATCCCCTCTTGCTACCTTAACCATTCTTGGAGGTTTGGAAGAAGTTTTTGTTGTTCAAAGTTCTCTTGGAAAGTTGGGGGAAAGCTATGTTATTAGTGACATCTCTCACATATCCATCTCTCTTTCTATCCATATGGTACATTAGGGTAGGATTTTCATTTATTCACTTGAAAGGTTTAGAAAGCAAGCTAAAGTTTATGATTTTATGCAACTAGTTTGTTATATTCCATGATTTGTCCATGATTCTCCATGTTAGTATATTATCCATGCCTACATTATTTGATTTGGTGTTTTTGAATATAATCATGTATATAGTAGCTTAGCTCCATGATTCCCAGGTCACTAGTTTTAAGAATATAGGGGCTTTGTATGATTTAATTTTATCTCGAGAAATAAAGTTCACAAAAATGAAATTAGTGGGCACTACTGACAAAGAAAGTGATATGTATCTAGGTATGCCTTTGAATTTCAAATGGATTAGTATATAGTAATTTCTGGGGAAAGTTTACTTATTAGTTTAATATGAATGATTTGAGCTTATATTCATTGAATTTGTGTGAGTTTTGATATTGTTATTAGTTTAGAAAGGATGAGTAGATTATTTATGGCTACTAGCTTCTTGAGTTTCTAATATAAGTTGGTTTAGGGTGTTAATGAGAATGTATCAGACATATAATTAACTTAGTTAAAAGATAGGTGTGGTAAAAGTTTATAATTTGGCCTAATTAAAGAGTTCTTGAAATTTTAGTAAACTTGAAAATTAAACTTTTTAAGAAGGCAAGTATTTTTATGGAAATAAAAGGTGCATATTTGAAATAAAATGTTTTGTAAAAGAAAAGAGAATTTTTATAAGTGTTGAGAAACTTTGAGATTGATTTCAGAGGAGTTGGGATGGATTTTGAAGTGTTGATTTAGCTTTGGACTTGAATGCTTTGTTTGTAGGCGGTTCATTTGGTTAGTTATGTGACTTGGAGCAAGGAAAGGCATTGCGTCATTCCATCAGTGAGAGCCCATAAACATGCACTTGGTTGGTTTCCCCATAGTCAATTGGTCTGGTGAACATGAATATGGAATTAGAGACTCGAGTAGTTGCTTAGATTAAGCTGACAACTTGTGGTTCAGTTCAGTTAGACTCAATGGGGTTTGACTATGTTGTTGAAGGGTAGTTTTCCTTGATTTTGAGTCGGTATTAATTTTATCCTTGATTTCAGATTATTTGAGAAATTGGTTATTGTATATATATTATGGCAACATTCTCATTATAACAAATACAAAGACTAAAAACAAGATAATATAATATTTGCATGTAATTTACTCATTTCAAATGTCATAGATGATTATTCGGTGAGCTGTTGCTTTTCTCACCCTCTACATTTACAAGTACTACACCACTGGCGCCATAGAGTTGGGCGGTTGTGCCCTAGGTCACCTAATTCATCTAGATGGAGCGGCGAATCACGAACTAGAGTGCAAATTAGCAAATTTGCAGGGAATTCATGATCAATCCACAGATTTGTCATCATCAGTTCGTGATTTCAACTTTTTGACCAACATTTACGCAACAAATCACCATTACATCGTGTACCACGCACACACGAGAGTCTACCTTTCTGTAGGCACTGATTCCATGAATGTAATAAAACAACATTTGAAAGAAGGGACTCGTACATGTAAAATGCACCAGCGCAACATTAGGTATCAACAGCAACTACCATCATGCCATCTCATTGTCATAAAATTTCTGGTGCTATTTTATTATTAAAAACCTCAAAAACTTATATACACATCAAAATAGTAAAAACGCATAAATGGTTAGTATTAAACTACATAAATCATATATTTATAGTTCAAAATCTTATATATACTTTACAAATAGAAATATTTAATAATATTAAAATAAAACAAAAGTAATGATACAATATTTGTCATAATATATATTTTATAGAATATACATATATAAAAAAAGCAACGCCCAATTAGTACACATTAATGTGTGTTTGGGAGGGGAAAGATTGAGTACACACCTAACCTTTAGAATATACATATATATATAATATAATATAACATAGATGCTCTCAAGGCGCTCTCGATCCTATAAATTAGAAAGTTGACGCTCTTGCTCTTGCTCGTGCTCCCGCTCTGCAAACTGGTGACTTAGGTTGTGCCTTATATTTATTTCTTTTGTGGACTTATACATGTACACCCATGCTTAATTGTATCGATGCCCTCTTTGAGTTTTGTTGGTATTTTGGGCACAGACATATAAACCAAACAAGTTTGTTTTTATTTCTTTTGTGGACTCATGCATGCATACTCATGCATATTGATGCCCTCTTTGAGTTTTGTTGTTATTTTGCGTACGGACATATAAACCTAACTAGTTTGTTTTCAGACTTGTAAAATTAGTTAATTAGCATGCTTATTATGTATTTCATGTATTTGGGTTGTGGGCGCACTTTGGTTTTTCAAAGCCTAACACTATAATGCTATCCTTTTAATTTAACTCAAACTATTCTCGATGCCTTTGCAATCCACTCAAATATTTAGTATACAATTCAACTCATTCAGATATTGGGAATTGGAGAAAAATAACTCTTTATTTAAATCTATCCCAAATCATTTTTTTTTTTTTATCATTAATTAAATAGTCTTGGAGTTGTTTGACTCCCTCAAATTACCAATTTATCAAAAAAAAAAATTACCAATTTTCTCAAATTGAAGTTCTACCTAGAGTCCTTTAAATTGTAGAGTTGACTAGGACTTCTTTACAAGCTTATTTGGACAATTTTTTGCCTATAATTAAAACCAAGCGGATTTGTAATGGAAATGGGATTTATTATACTTAATTCATGTTTTCAATCCAAATGAATGAGATTTTAAGGTAATCAGAATTGGAATAATTAAATGATTGGCATACTGACTGACCTAATGTAATTTAATGTAATTAATTGAGAACCAAACCTAATTGGGTTAAACAACCATCATTGTACACTTAGTGATAATCCACAGGGTTTAGATACCAGGGTGTGACACCAACAGTGATAAAATCAATAAAAATCTATGAGAAAGGAACCATGTAGAAAACTAGGGGAAAAACATACAACTCAAAAAAGATCTGGAATCAATAAACCTTCAAAGTTCAAACACAAACAAACTGAAAATAAAAATATTCTCTGCTCATACCGATAAAGTTCAACTCGTGAAGCTCCATAGAGAGTTTCTGAAGAAAGTGCAATGCCCATGCCATTACCAGTGGTTTCACCGCCGCAACCATCACAAGAAGGTGCATTTACCCACCTATATCAGAAAATGAGTAACACCATGTACAATTAGATAAATTTTCTCAGTAAGGAAATATGAATAAACATAAACATGAAAGATAGAGCCTATTAGCAACGATGATAAAGAAGAACAAAATTATAGCTAGAAGGAAATGAATTATAATGTAAACTCTAGGTAGCGAATGAGGCAATCAAACTCAGGCATGACCCCTTGATTAAATGTGATTCACACAATTAAAGCAAACCAAACCAAACTAAGCCTTGTGTCCCGCTCAAGTGGGTTCGGCTATATAAATCCTTTCTCACCAATTTGCTCTGTCAAGAGCTATAAGCTATTAGATTAAACAAGTTTATATGTTTTTTCTAATACCATATCCCATGCAAAGTTACCAGAGAGAATGATGTTAATAGCAGCCACAAAATTCTTTGAACCCCTACCTCAAAATTTTGAAATTTCTTTCTTTTCTTTGGGCCCCCACCTTCTTCCCAACTCTACCATCACAACTAACATTGGAAATCCTACCCTAGACCCACCTCCACTTTGGACAACCCATTTCCCACCTATCCTTATCACCCCTAGCCCCAGACGCACCTTCCTCCACCCCTCTCTACCATCGTGCATCCTCATCCCCATCTCCACCCTCCCCCACCCCTCCACAGCCTCTCCTTCTCCCTCCCCATTAGTCCTAGACTCAACCAGTGTGATAAGAACTCGTCAACAAGACCTCATGGATGAATAATGGTTTAGAGTTAGGACCATTTACATTTTACGTTACAAAACAACAATATACTTTTATAGGAGTATTAGTACTTGGATTATTTTGGGTTTGTCCTTGGTTATGGGTTATTTGTTCCTTAGACTTAATGATTGTTCATGGATAAGGGGTTGTATCCCCAACTAGTTTTGATGAGATCATTGAGTTACATACTTTTATCTTCAATTGTTTAGCTCACATGTAATGATTTATCACTATTACGCTTGCATGTACCTTTGGGCTGAACCCCACGTGATCCACAGCCGGTCATGCCCATTTTGGGGCGTGATAGTTTGGGTGAGGAATTTAAATACCTGAGTGTGGTCAAGGTGTGCATTCCCTTGGAAGATGTCGGCTTGGGCATTTGTCATTTTTCGTTTGTTTAATCATACCTTATTGGATAAGTTGATTTGGTGGTATGAAGAAGAAGAAGAAGAAGAAAAGGAAGAAGAAGAAGTAGAAGAAGAAAAGGAAAAAGAGGAAGAAGAAGAAGAAGAAAAGGAAAAAGAGGAAGAAGAAGAAGGCCATCTTCTTTGGAATAGGGTGATTGATTGCAAATTTAAGGTCAATCAGAGGAGATGGGTTTCGAAGGAAGTTCAGGACCCCTACGGTATGGAAAGGCATTAGGAGAGTGTGTCGGAATTTGCTAAGCATGTGAGGTTTGTTTTAGGCTATGGTTGTAAAATTTAGTTTTGGCAAGATGTTTGGTGTTGGGACATCCCATTATTGGCGGCATTCCCAAAGCTCATTCGTATTGCTTGGAGTGCCAACAAAAGTGGTGTGTTTTCTTTGGACAATAACTCTAAACTCCATTCTTACTATTTGATAACTTGATGAAGAGGGGACTACACTTGTTAGATGAAACTACTTGTGACGTAGCAAAGGAGATAGTTGATCATTTGTGGATTGATACAACTCCATGTGAGTGGATTGATACAACTCCACTGCACTCCATTACTTGTACACGCAAAGACCTTGTGTGTTGCACTTTTTGCATGCACTAGTCTTGCCAGTTTATAGACAGCTTTTTTTCCTTTTGCCATTCAATGGTCTATCTCGAGATGAGATAACCCTCCTCTCCTAGTCCATAGCTAAGGCAACCATCATAATGCCTCAAGATCTTAGAGTGGAGTATCCAACTCACAGACTAAAAGGTGCCGTTGTACATGGTTCATGTGTTTGTGATCGTTCGTATAGGCTCTTAATCCAAGCAAAGCATTTGGGTTTTAGTTTAATTACTTCCAGTTGAGGTATTTTGTATACCTATCTTTAGTCTTTAACATTGGTGTAAGGGTCATAGTCGCTTTCCTTTGCCTCTTCATCATAATGCCATGATGTGTGCATCTGAATATATGAGCCATTTAATATGTATATATATATTGTTCATTGAATTTAGCAGGATTTAGAATGCATGTTCCTCATAATGTCAAAAATTTGCACCAAATGGACCTAATCATGGGATGGAGAAAAAAATTTTTGAAACCTTCGTTTTGAAAAACACCTTTTTGTATGAAACTTCATGCTTAAAATAGATACACACATAAAATTTCATTTCTGTAAATTAAATTTATGTTGTCAGAAAGTGCTCAGCATAAGGTTTCCATCAACATAAAATGGACCTAATTTGGACTAAAAATGAGAGATTTTTTGAAGATTTACAGTTAAATCTGCAATTTCTATTTCTGGGAATTCTAGGGAAGAAGACAAACCAGTGAACCGAAGCTTGTAGCTGGTAGCATGCCTGCCAGTCCAATCTTTTATTGGAGACTAGTTTGTGATCTTACCCAACATGTGTGAGTTGGACACATTGGTCAACACAAATGGGTAAATTGACACAAGAATATCACTCTTTTTTACTTGTACACACAAAGACCTTGTATGTTGCATACTCAAAAAGATTGAGTATAAGCCAAATAGTTCTGTGAAAACTTACTGGTAAGGCTTCGGAAAACTTACTGTGTCTTAACTAGCCTATAATCACCACATAACCAAATAGTCAATCTCTTCCTATAGTTCTGTGATCCAAAATCTTCCTATAGTTCTGTGTCAAACTTTTTATAAATCACTAGCGGAGCCCTTAGCTTGATGCCTCCCGACATCAACTGAGTTTTCGTGGTAAGGCTTCATTCAAAAAACTCACAAGAAAGGTGGTATGTATCTTAACCTAGGCTAATGTTGTTCATTTTTGTAGTTGCTTTCCCCCAAAACTCTCTCCTCTTGTTGTAGGAGGGATCTCTTGAACAATTATTTCCTTCTGCAATGAAACCCCTCAGTATAACAAATGGAAAATAATAAAAAGGAAAGAAAAAAAAATGATCTCATTGCAGCTGCATTGGTTAAATTTCAAAAGAGGTAAATGATAGTGATACTACAAAGTAATGGATATTGAGGCCCTTTTTTCTCCTTTTTTAATTAAATGTAGAAGGAAAGTATGTCAGATGAAAGAAGAAAAGACTGAAGTCTTTTTCTGAAGGAAGAAGAGAATAAAAGTCAAAACATAAACAATCAAAGATCCATAAATCTGCATTTTTTCACTTGCACCACTGTAGATTGTGGCCCTCCCTATTTTTGTTTGTGTTTTACAAAGAAGCAGAAATGTATGATATAATTTAAAAAGTATAATAAAACAACAATATACTAAATCTTTTCCAAAACCCAAAGTAAACAGAAAAGAAACAAACCTGAATGATTGTTTGAACCAAAAAAGCAGCTGCAGCAGGAAAGCATGATCTTGTTCACTTTTTGTTGGTTTAAAGTTTCCCTCCTAAAGCAGAGATAGGTAAGTTATTAGAAATGTTTTTTTCCCTCAAATTAGTTTGTGGAATTTTTAGAAGTGTGACAATTTACAAGTAATGAAATACTGCTCAACCACCACAACAATAACTCAGAGACTTGTTGTCTGGCCTACTATAAAGTACATCCAGCAAGAATACACGTCTCTTGAAGAGAAGACAATTGACGGAGTGATCAAGAAAATACGTAAATTTGCATTGTCAAATAATCATGCAACTTATAAAGGTTCCCAAAATAAATTCTACCATTGAATTGGAATAGCATAACCAAAAAACAACCCAAACAATTTTTGGACTTCAAAGTCATTTGAAATGTAAGGACTAATATAGCCTTCTTTCGGTTTGATAAGATCTGAGAGCATTGTCCTCTTATCTTCATGGTATATGATGCTTTTTCTTTTTAAACAAACCCTTTATCTACCACAAAATGAGGCTTTTTATGGCCATATCATTTAAATAATATATGGCTTCATGCATATATGAGTTTCTAACTTGAAATGCATCATAGAGGCCATCAACAGATGAATCAAGGAAAAATCTTATCCAAAGTACATCCCTTTCAAAATTTTGTGATGCACAATATGATGATATCCAGTAGTTTCTAGATGAGTATAATGGCATTTGTCTACACACAAATGAGTACAAGACCTATTCTTATGGCTATAGATACAAATGAAAATGTACATCAAAGACATCAAAGCCCCCCACCTTGGCCAATGCAACCAACGCTTTCTCCTCAAGCCTCTCCACAGGCACTGTCTTCCTAGCAGAGTCCTGGCGATTTGGGTCTTCGTACTATATCAACAGCAGGTAAAATTAATATAAATAATTTTATTGAAAAAAAAAAAAAAGAAGAAGAAGAAGAATTCAAGACCAAACAGAAAAGAAACAAAAAAGAAGAATTATGCTCCGTTTGGTTGCCATTAACTGCTTAAAGAAGCCAGATTAATTTCTTGATATAGTAATTTTCATTATGCAACACCAAAAGAACTACACCACCATCCAGTCATCTTATTCAACTGCTTGGCTTAGTAAGCTAAGTTTGTCAACTTCTCAAAAACTATAATAACAAATCACATAAGATTTTGGTGACCTCTTTGGTATCCTTTCTAAAAACTGTTTTCTATGTTGAAAATTTAAAATGTGAAAACAAAACAGAAAATTATTGGGCGGAACATTTTTTTGCTAACTGTTTCTAGGAGAAAATGAGTCTTTTGTACAAAGCCCTGATTCAAGAAATCATTTTTGAAGTTTTCAAAAGCTCAGACCTAGTATAGAACATTGAATTTATTGTCAATTAGAAACTTGAATTCAACATCTTTACTCTTTTTATTTTGCTCTGCATTATCACCAGCCAAAAAGGGAGAGTAAAAATAAGATAAAATAAAATAAATGCACAGAATTAGAAAGAAATGAAGCAATTTCACAATTACCATTAGAACCTGACTGACGTAAGGCCGTATCCTGGTCTCAATTTGTGAGTTATCCTCAGTGGCAACATATTGCTGCAACATAAGTGCTTCTTCCTCTGCCTAAACAACAACAACAACAAAATTGCTTTCGAAAATTCAATCAATTCATTAATAATAACAAAAGCATTACGAAATTCAACCAAATTTGGTGAAGAACCTGCAACATCCGAGCAAATTCTTCATCAGATTTGACCAATTCAGCATTTTGATCCACCGATTTTCCTTCTTCGTCGTTGACAGATAACAATCGAAGTCTATCGGAAATCGAGAGGAGATCAGAGTCGTCCGACACGAGCCGATCATCATCACCCCCGAATATCTTACGAAGAAATTAATCAAAACAGTCGCATTAAATACATATATATATATATATAGGGATAGAGAGAGAGAGAGAGAGAGTGTGTGTGTGTGTGTGTGTGTGTGTGTGTGAGAGAGAGAGAGAGAGAGAGAGAGAGAGATTTACCTTTTGTTCATCGGGAGGAATTGAAGTGAGAGAGAAGAGCTGGAATTTCAAAACCTGTAAATGAAGAGCAATAACAAAGAATTCAGAGAGAGAAAAATAGGGAAAACAGCTTCTTAGAGAGAGAGAGAGACTTCGAAGCCGTCGTCTGTGTCGTAGTCGATGTCGAAGTCGGAGTCGTTGTGGCGAACGAGGAACTTCCGAGCCACCATCTTCGAAGGCGTGGTCTGTACCCTATCTTTCTTGGCTCTCTTACAGACAGACAGACAGTTCGCTTTGGAAACTATGACAGAAAAGAATGGAAGATCCTTTTCTTTTCCACCAGCATATCACCATGGAATGGAATGTACTTCACACTTCACCATCCATGGGCGACGACGACCCGACTTCCAAGTCAATAAATTTTTCTTTTAAATTCAAGAAAATAAAACAAAAAAATAAAAATGTAGCGTTCGGTTTGATTTTTAAAACTCGATCAGCTGGCTTGTTTTTTCTTTTCAGAAAACACTTGTAAAAAAATTTTATTTTTTTATTTTTTATATTTTTTATTTTTATTAAATTTTTTTAATATTTTTTTTTTAATATTTTATGCAAATTTTTTACTTTTTAGACACACCTAACATAAATACACCTAAAAAGTAAAAAAATTATAAAAAAAATCTTTTAAAAATTCACTAAATACCAAAAATACAAAAAAAATACAATAATTTAGTACATTTTTTATATTTTTATGTATTTATTAATTTTTTAAAATATTTTTTTACAAATTTTTTACTTTTTTAGATACACCTTAGTATCTAAAAAAGTAAAAAAAATGTTTAAAATTTAAAAAATATTCACTAAAAACAAAAGAATGCGAAAATCAAAAAACTCAATTTTCAAAAATTTAATTCAGAAAACTCAAAGCAAACACAGTGAATACTATTTTCGAATCATAATTTGAATTAACATTTATAATTAAATAAATTTTTAAAGTATAATTTAAAATTATTTTTAAAATTTATTTCTTCTCTTTTTTTATTATTATTAAGTAATCAATTAATCATTTTTTCTCTCTTCTCATATTTTATACATCAATCAATTTTAAAAAAAAAATTCAAATCATCCCAAAATTATTTTCAAAACTCATAATCAAACAAATTTTCTCTTTTCAAATCATAATTCAAAAACTCAAAACTCAAAATACAACTCTACGCTCAAATTACAGTTCTAAAATAAACTAAATATATAACGATTTTGGTTTAGACATGACCTGTTTATTATTTTGGATCTAGATTCCTTATTTTATCTGGTTGTTCATATCCTTGTTCATCTTATTTCTTATTGAATTGGGTTGTTTAAGTATTGTGATTGCATTTGAAACAGGTTGAGAGTTTCTTTTTCAATAAAACTGTTGCCCAAATTTTGGTCAATTCACTCGAGTGGTACTTTGGTTGCTTTAGTGGTCTTTGAGAACTTCCAGTATATTTGCAAATATACTGGGAGGGTGTTTTTTTTGTTTGAGCGGTGTTTATTGCACTCGAGTGGTCTTTGGGAATTCTCAGTACTTTTGCAAGCCTGCAAAAGTACTGAAGGGTGGTGTTCTTCACTCGAGCGGTCTCACTTATTGTATTTGGTCGCTCGAGTAGTATTTTGATCACTCGAGCGATCTGCACGTATATTAGTTCGTAAAACTTACTTTTTGAGTTTCTTTTTCATATCTCTCTCTCTAAACATTTCAAAACCCTAAATCTAGACCTTTTCTCTCTAAAACTCATCTTCAACCTCCAAATACTCTCAATCTATTGATCTCTACACCTTAGTCCTTTTGATAAAAATGTAGAGCTCGCCTAAAACTTCATTTTAATCGAAACAAAGTTGGTTTTCGACTTCATCAAGGGTTCTCCACTCGCTTCCTTGTCTTCTAGCTTTAAGGTAGAGATTTCTTTACACTTTTATATTTTTTTTAACTTAGTTATTTGATTTTCTAAACAACATTGTGATTTGGAGATTTTGAACAAAATCTAGGGTTTTAGTTTTGAATCAATAGAGGGGTTTCTTGGAAATGATTTCTTGGAAATGATTGTGGGTTTGTAAATGTGGTTGAGTTATAATAAAATGATGGATTTTTATCATTGGAATTGATTTATAAAGAAAATGGGATTTTGCGCCCTAAAATGTAAATACTTGAGTTTGTAAAGAAGAAATGGAAATGATGTTAGGTTTTATAGAATTGGAATGATGATGATAATGATGGAAGTTTTGGATATGCATTATCACTCCCATCTTAAAATTTTGGAAAGTTTATCTTTATGGGAAATTATCTATCTGTTTAGATATATTTGTTTTGGGCTATCGGTAGAAAACAGCAATGATTATTATAAAAATTACATGAGAATTAGGAGAATTAAAACTAATTTTTCCTCCATTTGCATTGAGTATTGTTGCATACTTAACGCATTGAAAATGTATATTGTTTTGAGAAAAATGGGTAAATACCTTCGTGAATCTGGATAGGGGGTGTGGTTATGGTATTATTATTGGCCTATGTGTCGTTGTGAAAGTCCAGAAACCTACGCGGTTAGGTGCTGAGCCTTTCGGTTAGTACCTTTAAAAATGACAAATTGTAGTGCTTGTACAGCCTACTTGCAAACACGTATCTAGAGATTTACAGTGTTATATCCACGGCCTTGTTTTCTATTAAAAATGAAATAATTTCATGAATTGTGATATAAACCTGGCATTGTATGGTTTTGGAAAGAGATATAAAATGTTTTGGCATGCGCATTGTATATACATTCACCTTATAATTTCGTTAAGATTCATATATTGTGTTAGAGTATCTTTACGGGGTTTTGGCTCATTCTACGTAGAAAATTATTTCCAGGTGCTAGTGATATGCCTCCGTCAAGGCCATAGCTTGGGAGGACTTGGAGCTAAGAGCCTTTTTTGTTATTGTTGTAATTATTTTTGTACAAGCCTAGGGCTTTATTTATATTGAATTTCAAACTCACTTTTGTTGTAACCAAGCATCGTCTTGGAAAGTTGTAGCCAATTAGGCATTACTTGATTGGTTTTAACCTCTATTTTGTATAATTTACTTGTGGCACATGCTATAAATTCAGGATTAGGGCTTATGAATGTATAACTGCATGTGTTACCTTTTGTACAATGATATCATACGAATGGAAGGATATTATATTCAAAACTGTGTTGTTATTTAATTAATATCGTGGGATAAATTATGGTTATTATTTTCGGGATGCTACAAAATGGGCCCAAACTTACTGCATCCGACATTAAAAACAACAACATTACTACCTTCACATCACCCATTCCCCCTAATACCCTCTAATATATTTTCGATTTTATTTAATGGACCCAATTTTCAACCAGCAGCCGGTCTAAGGCGAGGAGATCCATTGTCGCCCTATATTTTTTGGCTTGTTATGCAAGCCTTATCAGATGGCTTTGATCATCTTGCAACCCAGGACATCTGAAAAAGGGATAGCTATTAGTTGCACATCTCTACCTATAAACCATTTGTTATTTGCAGACGGTTGTTTCATATTCCAAAATTTGGACGTGTCTCATATTTGGTGTTTACAATGGTTTTTAAGTGCGTTTTGCTCTCAGACTGGTTTGCGTATTAATTGCCAAAAATTTGAACTTTATCCTAGTCCCAATATGCCCACAAATGTTAGGCAGTGGCTTTAATCAATGTTGAGAGTTAATGTGGTGTCTAAACCAGGTCTATACCTAGGGGCAAATCTGGGGTTCTCGGGTAGGGCTAAAGGGGATATTTTCAAATCAATTATGGACAAAATTCAAATTAAGCTCCAAGGTTGGAAATGCAATCTTTTGAATTTTGCTAGTAGGAGTGTGTTGGTTAAGCATGTGTTGTATTCTATTTCGGTTTATTTAATGTCTTTGTTCCAAATGCCAACTATTTTTTTGGAAAAACTCACAGCAATGGTCAAGAACTTTCTTTGGGATTCCAACCGAGACAAAAGAATTTCCTAGAAAAAATGGACTCATTTATGTTTTCCGAAAGATTAAGGGGATTTGGGATTCAAGGATCTTAGATGTTTTAATCAAGCTTTGTTAGCCAAACAGGCATGTCAGTTGGTAACAAATCTGAATGCTTTGTTATCCCAAGTTTTGATAGGTAAGTATTGTATTAATCAATCTTTCTTGAAAGTGGGTAAGGGAACTTATTCTTCGTGGGGCTGGCGTAGTATTTTATGGGGTAAGGATTTGTTAAATTTGGGTTTACACTAGGTAGTGGGGAATGGGATACAAATATTGCCTTTCAAGGATCAATGGATTCATGCAGTATCCAATCCATTCAGGGAAAGGGGGCTTCACAGATTTTTTCCTCAAATGCAGATAGAGCATTTTATTTATATGGAGTCGGGTTGTTGGAGAGAAAATTTGGTTCGGTACTTCTTTCTGGAAGAATGTAGAATGAATATTCTAGTAATTCACATTCCCAATCCTTCTTGTGAGGATAAATTAGTCTGGAGTTCTATCAAAAATAGGGTTTATATAGTTAAATCTAGTTACAAACAAGTCTTGCTTCGTTATTACCCTTTAATGAATGGGAATGAATTTGAGAAAGCGATATGGATAAAGTTGTGGCAATTAAGGATACCTCCGAAGTGGACTTTATTTATTTGGAAATATCTCCATCGAATCCTGCCAATCCAATGTGAATTAAAGAAGCAAGGAGTTCCAATCACTACGTGATGTACTCAATGTAATAATCGTGATAAGACATTAGAACATGTATTCTTTGACTGTCATTGGGCGCAAAAGGTGTGGAGAGGGTCTACATTGGGGCTAGATTTCAATATAGGCTCACCGGTGTCTTTCTTTCAATGGTTTAAGGAGCGGGTGGAACAAGTTACAGATGATGAAATTCTCATTCACTCTGTGGCCATTCTTTGGGCCTTATGGCAGCAAAGGAATAACTTTGTGTTCAATAAACGATTTCAATCTATTGACAGCACGATTGAGGAAGCAAAGACATTATCCGTACTAGTTATTAAAAATGCACATCATGGGTCACCTATACACACTGATAATGTGTTTAAAATTGAGGATAATCAATCTAATTTGTGTGTTTTGCAGAATATACAAGCACCTGGGAACGCAAGGGAATCATGAACATTCATCATTGATGGCTTATGGAAGTCATCTAATCAAAGTGTGGGGATCGTGTGGATTTGCTTAAACAATAAGAACAAACCAATTACTCAAAAAGCACTAGTACTGAATCCACTCTAATCTCCATTGGCGGCAGAAGCAACAGCATGCTTGGAAGCTATTAGATGGGCAGTAAACCAGGCTAAAATGTGTAAGAATTCAAACGGATTGCCAAGTTTCTAGTGAGAATGCTACAATAGGAAAACACCAAGATATACTGGAAGATTGCTACTATTATTAATGATATTATACATTATG